TGGTTACACTTTGTGCACCAAAAATCTCACATGGTTTGCCTGGAACTGATCTTAACACTTGCACAGTGAGCATCCACCTTCAAACTGTCCAAGCTATTACACAACCTCATTTTGTGTCACTAATTGCCTTCTTCGTCTTATATGGCCTCCTCAGTTCTCCTCTTCCATTCGGTCCTCTGTTAGGTCCGTCTGTCCGAGGCTTTGATCGAGGTTTCGAAACATCATGTTAGCCTTGCGACAAACTCGGAGGACCAGGGTACCCGTCTTAGTCTGACCTCTCCCCCTTGACCAATCTGGCTAAGGAGGCCCTACTAGTAGCTATGCTACCGCTAGCATAGCTCTTGGGGTCACTGAGGTACTCAAGCCCCACCACCATGACAAGGTGCAGGTCGAGGGGTCGCCACTTTATGCAGACATTTTCCCTAACCGCGCATCAGTAGCACAGTGGACTCCGATATGGAAGCATTGGTTGCAATACTAATAATACGACAACGCCGACGCAAACGACGACAAAGACAGCGCCGTTTTTGGGTACATCCAATATTGAGAACTCGCAGCGAACACGGCTAAAGAGGCACGAAGATAATTTTTTTTTAAGTATTTTCGAATGAGTTTGACAACATTCAATGAATTATTGTCCTTGTTACAAGATCGTTTAAAACGCCAATATACCAACAAGAGAGAAAGCATACCTCCTGCAGAAAGACTTGCTATTACATTGAGGTAGTGGGTGGGGAGCTAGGATTGGTGTGGCGGACGCGTAAAATACAGACCGCAGCTTCTGGCGGAGGCTAGTGGCTCCGTTTGCGCCCAGCCTAAGTTGGCGCTGCAATTCAGTTACCTTTACATTAATTCACGCCCTCGCCAATATATGGCGCGGACGTTCACTTAATCTTAGCATTAGTTCATGCCGTCGCCAACATATGGCGCGGCAGTTCACTTAACTTATCTCTACATGTCTTTGTCAATAGAGGGTGAAGCAGGTCACCTAGCTTTGAGTTTTCGATGTCTCTATCCGGCTAATAAGATATCCAAGAAGGTAAACGGGTTTTCGCTGGCCTATTAGTTTAAACGTTTCACAAAAGATGGCGCGGAAATTCACTTACTTTTACATTAGATCAGGCCCTCGCTAATACTTGGCGCGGCGTTCAATTTAGCTTTAATTAGTTCATGCCCTCGCTAATATATGGCACGGTAGTTCACTCATCAGTAGATTAGTTGTTGTGTTTGCTGATAGAGGGCGGAGCAGGTCGCCTTCCTTTGAGTTTTCGACGTTTCCGTTCGGGTAGACAGTGGTTTCTAACGGTTTCTTTGGATCCCTTGCGCTCGAGCAATTAACGGTGACTCGAAAGCAAAAATTGCACGACGTTTGTTGTCGAATATTTTCTGCATATTTTTGCGCAAGGTATCTTACTACTGAAAGCTATTTGTTATCGTTGTTGTTTGTTTGCTTGATCTCTACTTTTTGACTTAATTTCCTTCTGCAAGAGGCTAAAAGTGCATAACGGATGGATAGGTGAACGAAGACGCGTTTAATTATATTCTTAAGCGGTTTGTAACATCTCAGAATATGTTGAACGTATCGCACCCCTAGAAGAATACTGTCACAACTCAAAAAATATAAATTTTCAAGAGAGAGGAAAAACCCAATTTTAATTCAGTTTTGTTGAATTATGAGGAAGCTAGAGCATTTTTTGAGTTGTGGCAGTATTCTTCTAAGGTTGATATATGTGGGATTTGAGGTTTTCACGGCGATATACGAGGTGCGATCGAAAGGTTTCCAGACTGCGCGTATAAAAACCCGTACACTTATCTCAGGTATTAAATTCATCCATCACCCTCGAAGTAGTTCCCCTGGGAGTGAACACAACGATCCCAGCGCCGCTGCCAA